AATTAAAGAGCTTGATTCCCTTCTCCAACCGTCACTGACTCTTTCTTTCCCAAAAACAGCGTCCCCTCGATTTTTGTGCCAAGTTTTCTTTTATATCAGTGGTCCCATGGCTTATCTTGTCGCAGAAGTTTAATTTTGACATAAGTTAAAAGTACACGCCCCATGTACACGATTATGTACATCTCTGGTCTCTAAAAATTACTCTTCACAGCTTTTCTAGGAAGTACACGCTCATGTACTTTGACCGTGTACATCTCTAGTTTAGATGATGTACTTCAATTGATGCGACCAGCTAGATACACACTCATATACATGGACATGTACTTGCCCGTGTATATCTCTGGTTCTGATTTTGTGCTTGATTGATGCAACCAATGAGTTACACTCTCAGGTACACGGCATGTACTTGCCCGTGTATATCTCTGGTTCTGATTTTGTGCTTAATTGATGCAACCATTGAGTCACATGTGTTTTTTATTAAATTATTTTATTTAAAATTAATTAAAAATTATATTTAAAAAATAAAAAATTATATCAAATTAAGATGAGATAAAATTTAAATTTATAAATATTTATTAATTTTTTACTAAGTTTACGAGTTACTTTTCTATATTTATGAATTTTACAATATTAAGTATTTATATATTGAGAGTGCTGTATTTATTTATTTTTTCGACAAGGTAAATTTTATTTAAATAATTTTATGACTTTAAAAATATTTATAAAGCATATGATATTCTTAAAATAATTTTATAAAAAAATAAATAAATATTTTCTAGAGATTAATTAATAAATAATATACTATTTTTAGCAAAAGACACAAGTACTTGTTTATCATTTTTAGTAAATTATTTAATATTAATAAAAATTTATATTTTAAATATAAAAAATGCATTTTTAAAAATAAAAAAGTCTATCAATTCAAAATCAAATCAAGTTATTTCACTTTAAAAATAAATTCTATCAAATTAAGATGAGTCAAAATTTAAATTTGTAAATATTCATCAATTTTTGCTTAACAATTAACTTTCCTGCATCTATGAATTGTACAATATTAAGGTTTAAATATACTTTTACTAACTCTAAATAGAACTTATTTCAAATTACTACCTATAATTTTTTTTATTTTAATATCTAACTATTTTTTTTTTAATTTTGCACCTGACGTTAACTTCCATTAGTTAAATGGTGATGTGAGAGTCATTTTGAGTTGGACCCCGTGATGCACTATGTTGAGGACAAAGAGGCAGTTCTTGTAAAGAACATTGATATGAATAGGTAGTCATATTTTGAAGCACTTGGGATTGTAAAAGAAGACTTAGGTTACAGAGAGTTGTTTGTGAAGTAAGTAACGAAGATGTTGTTGAGAACAATTTTGCCAGTAGAGAGGAGGAATCTCTAAAAGTTCATTTAAATGATAGTGAGAAGGATAAGACTGGTGATATAGATGATGGATTTGATACACGTTCCATAATTTGAGCGATGAAAACACAGTCGGAAGAAGATAGTTACAAATAAAGTGAATGAAGATGTTGAGACTAAGGAGGAACATGTTGCTCACAGTGTTCATGAGCCTGAGAAAGTACCTGTTCGTGTAAAGGTTGTTTGGATTTTTGGGGAAGAATAATCTATTGAAATGTCCACCCCTAAAGGTGACTTACTAAGTGTGCTTCAAAGTAATGCTCAAACTAAAAAAAGGGTTGTTGTTGGTGCTAGTGTTGCTGGTGTGGCTGGAGTTGCGGGTTGGAATACTGGTGTTAGAGGGGAGAATGCTGGTGTTGGGGATGGAGATGTTGTCGTTGGGGGTGAGAATTCTGTGTTGTTGGATAGAAAAGCATGGTGTAAGCATAAATTTTCATGTTACTCAAAATGTGATTTATTAATGAATAATCTTAGTGAAGCATTTAACAGCACAATTTTGATTGTTAGGGATAAACCAATTATTACAATGTTGTGGATGCCTTGCAATTCAAAAAATTGGACTTCATGAACTATGTTGATAATTATTATTCTCAGGATACTTATATGATGTGTTATGTACACAAAATTTCAACCACCAATAGGGAAGACATGTGGCCTGAAACTAAAGACATTGTTATAGTGAAGGACCAGCTAATCAAGGGCCAACTCTACCACCTTTAGCAAGTCAACCAAGTTTGGAGGCAAGTGCAACAGCAGGGGTAGACAAGGGAGACAGACAAATGATGTGAATTGAAAGGGAAACAATATTTTTTAGGAACCATTTTTGAGAGAGAAAAGTGTTTAAAGTTATTTTGTATTGGGAGTAATGTTACTGCATAATATTTTAAACAATGTCTTTATTTTAATTGTGAAGCATGTGAATGAGAATCTTTTATGGACCATAAGGTGTACCTTTTGATAACAATTAAATATAAACAATGTGCAACATGCATGTGCACGTTTTGGGACTACTTTTTTTTGTATGTTTGAGTCTTATTTTCACACCTTTCTAATCTGTTACTCATAACAAGAATATAAAATATAAAGCAGTAATTATATTCAATTATATATTGAAGGTATTAATATGAAAATGTTTATTTATGGAGGTAGTAAATCATAATCAATTTAAAAATACAAGTTCTGTTTTGAAATACTAAAATTATAGAGGTAGTTAATAAATTAACTAACATGTACATTCAGTTATTAATTGTTATGTTAAATCAAAATCAGTTTTTAGAGTGAATACAATCAAATTCAATAGAGTAAATAATGCAAGTTGTTGATGGAGATCATGACAGAGTGAATAGTGTGGCTAACATCAATTCTTATGTCATTGAATTCATTCAACCATATTTAAAGCAACTTTCATTACATTGAATTATAAACTGTCATCCTTTAAAACTTTCCTACTAACAACATTCATTACTACTATAATGCTCACAATGGTAATGAAAAACTAAAGTATAATAAGTAAACATCCTAAACTTTTCACCCTATTCCTCTCAACAACAATCTTGTTCTTCTTGTGGGATATTTTAAGGTTCAATAATGCAAGTTGTTGATGGAGATCATGACATTCTTTTTGAAGTCTCATTATCTTTTCTTTGCTTTTTGACATTTTCTCCTCAACTGCTTTTTCAACCTCTATTAAATCACTAATCTTTGCCTTCAACTCTTGAATTGTGCAGATTTGTCTTGAGATAACAAACTTATTGTCTCTATCTACATGCTCTTTAATCCAACAAAATAATTGCAAGAATTAGATTCTTGCAAATTAAATACAAACAAATTTGTAATTACGGAAACACAAATCCATTCCCAAATACAACCAGTTAAACTTACATTCTAACTAGAACATCTCTAAAACTTTCTACCAAGATTTTTCTTACTCTATAAGGTCAAAATTATAGCGAGCTTCTTACATTTGCAAGTTACAACAGCTCGTACAGAAGATGAGTATGAAGAACCACCCACACTACTCATTTCGTGAAGATGAAGAGCAGAAACTTAGACCGAAATGGACAACGACAACCAACGAAAAAGGACCTTAACTTTCTTCTTTCTTTTATGATTCTTCTTCCTCCCTTCGTGTTCGCCTTCTGCGTATTTTTCTTCTTAGTTTTCTTCTTCTTCTTGGAATAAGATTCTTGATTTGGCCCTTTTTTCCTCATTCCCCAAAATGCAACGTGCAAGTTATATTTCATTTTTTTTATGTGGATTCGTGACCTGTAAAACTAAGGGTGAGGTGGAGGAGAGAGATTGAGGATGATCTGACAAACTGTGAGTTATGTCACCATTTAACTGACGAAGATTAACGTCAGGTGCAAAATTGAAAAAAAATTTAGTTAGATAACATTTATAGGTAGTAATTCAAAATAAATCCTATTTAGAGGTAGTAAAAATATATTTAAACCTTATCAATATTAAATATCACATATTTACAATTTTTATGATGACATTGTTGTATTTAATTTGTTTAACATATAGAATTCTATTTAAAAAATTATTTTAATAATAGATGACTTAAATAAAATTATTATTCTCTTTTAATTTTTTTCTAAATTTTAATTAATTTTTTAATCCTTATTAGTCAAATACCAATTATCAGTTTTTAATAATAAAATTTAAAGTAAATTATTAATATTAAAATTCAAAATTGCCTTAAACTTTACAAAAATAAATACATTAATATTAATATGTTAATATTAAAGTTACAAAAAATGAGTAAATATATTAATCACACTAATTTAATATTAATTATTATTATTATTATTCATTCTATTATTGTATGACCTTTCAAATATATAAACTCCTTAATTTTTATTTATTTATTCCAATATTTCTCATTAATTAGATACCATTTATCAATTTCTAATAAATTTTTTTTAATTAAACTATTAATATTAAAATTGAAAACAATCTTAAACTTTACAATAATAAATACGTTAATATGTTAATTTTATAAAAAAATATATAAATATATTAATTGCACTAATTATGAAGATAAACTTTCTCTTAAAACTTATTTATTTTTATATATATAAATAAAAATAAAGATTAAATTGATAAAAATTATTTAAAATTATTTCATATTTAAAAGTGATTTACTTTTTTATTTTAATTAAAAAATATGTGCGTGACATATTTACTGGTAACTATGTAGCTTGTAATACATTTATTGTTCAATTCATTTATTTCGATATTTAGATTTACACTATTTTAAAAATTCGTTATTATTTTATACTCATTTTGGTCAAAAAGACAAACTTCGTTTGGGACTGATCAATATGTATATGCCTAGTCACTAGTCAGGACAGGTAGCGACGTCGTTTGGCAATGGAGACCTCCCTGAAAAGAACTTCGGGTCGATCCAGATTTACACGATCTTACATTTGGGACTGATCAATATGGATCGGGTTTGATCCAAACCCGCTGAATTGCCAGCCCTCCGCTAAGCCTAACCTATTATTTGTTCGGTGTCTGAAATATGAACACAAAACCCACACTAAAACCTCAAACATCTTGACCAAATAGAAAAAGCCTCAAACCGCAGAGTGTGAGAGAGAGATGGCTCTAAGGTATCATCGCCGCATGAAGGATTTCTCGAAGTTTCTATCCCCACTTGTCCCCGCAGGTGTGTGTTTCCCACTCTGCACTTCATTCACAAGCACTCTCTTTTGGTTGCTCTGAAATCCAAAGAAAAATCTTCACTCTTATTTTTGTTTTACCTTTTTCACTCCCACTCGTGTTAAACCACTTTTTATCTTTTCATTTCAATTTTTCCTGTTGGTGTTAAATTAAATAAATAGGAGTAATTTTTTTTTATTAATTTATCGTGTAGATTCTAGTGCAAGAAATTATTTTCATTCCAATACCATGTGACATTTCAAAGAAACATTGCTTTAGAAATCACAGAATATAACTTTCAATTTTTCTATTGTTACGAGTACTTTTTTTTTTTTACTTTCTCAATTTTGTTCACTTATGTGTTGTATTTTGATACCAAACAAATATTATTTTTCTTTATATAATGAAAGCGATCTTATTTTGAAATCCATTTCATGTTTATGCATTAGAGGAATCCATAAATAGACCGTTATTATTTTGGACAAAATGCAAAAGAGAAACTCTTTATGTATCAGTCCAAAATTACAGATGTTACTGTGGCTGTATATATAATTTAGCAGGTAGTTGATGTTTCCTTGGTGTTTTTCCTTTACATCCTCCCCTTCCTGCTTCCCCAGAGAAGATTTTGTTTTCTTATTTTTTAGAATTGTGAAAGTGCAATGTGACTTTTGATTATTCTGCTTTTTGTCTTGGTTTGTTCTTATGTTTATTTATAATTCTGAAGTTTGATGAGTACAGCTTGGTGTTTTAGAACTCCTCAATATGTTTTTAATGTTTTTTATTTTATGACACCTCTCCCTTTTGTCTCTAGGCAATCGCTGCCAGCAATATGGCAAAACTTTGGACTTATTGGCTTTGCCTATAATGCGAATTCTTTCTGCTCCGAAGCCGATTGCTAATTGGACCCAAGCAAGAGGGTTTTGTGAACACATGTAATTACTTTTGATTTTTAAGCTTCAAGTTTCTCCTACAGGGTATCTGGTGTGTGGTGATTTTGTGTTTCTTTCGAAGTTTTTGTAGCTGATAGCTTAGCAAAACTGAATAAATTTCAGAGTCAGCTTTCAGTTATCAATGTTACTTTTGAAGTGTCATCGTTTAATGTTTTCTAGCTTTGTTAGGTTTCCTGACTTCTGATTGACAGTCTTATTCAGGATCTCAGCTGTGGCTGATGTATCCCATGAACCTGCCAATGAGATAGATCTTTTGTCTTTCATTAAAGCTTCACTGGATGAGTTTGAAGGTATAACTATTTATTATTATAGTCTACTACTGTTCATCTTCTTCAATTGTTTTAAGTGTTAGTAATCTGATCTATATTCTAAACCATTTTTCTGTTTTGATCAACAACTTTGTTTTGCTTCATTTTATTTTTAAACCTCTTGCTTCCCTGCATGCATTGACATTGACATCGGAATTCTGTCTGAGGACATTCTTCTTGTGACTTCTATGACTTGCAAATTTTTTACTTTACAGTTGATTGAAATAATTATTTGCGCAGTTGTACTATTTAGTTTTGAATTGTGAGCACTGTATTTTGTGTTATAAATACATGGGTCCAATTCTAAGATACACTTGTTACGGAGTTTAAGATTCAATAAGTTAATTGATCATCCTCTCCACTTTTTTCCTGTTAAGTCATTCCTTCATTTAAAACCGCAGGCACAAATCATTATTGGTTAAATAGATCTGACAAAAATGATCAACTTTTTGGAGCTGATGGAGTATTTTTAGTTCTTGCTGCAAAGATTTTTGACTCTGGCATTGTGTTTGAAAAATTGAAGACAATTCAAAAGAGGTATACAAAAAATATTAGTTCCTCTCCTCCCAGATTTGATATAGCCATACAGGTTGGGATATATTTTTTCATAATAATTAAATATATTTGGCTGCAGGTTCCCTCATATTACTATTATGAGTTTAAAAGCAACTCACTCTTCGGCTGATCAAATGCACCTAATCCACTTCCTGTTGACAGAAAATATCACATTCCCCATTTTGATGACTCAGCAGACATTTCCCCAGGTGAGGTAAAATCCCTTGTTTAGCTTCTGAAATGCGTTGAAGTTTGATGTATACGAAGACGAATATTTTTACCATAGTAAATGTTGTTTGTTTAATTGTTTGCTAAAATATCCCTAGCCCCAATTTCTAATTAGTAACCATATTAGCCAACAACATCAGGCAAGTAGTGGTTGTTTACGTCACTGCAATCTTTTATCAGATATGGGAGATTTCTTCTTCGAATTCTATCTCAGCCCTCATTAAAGCTGTATACTTGTAGGTGTGTAGCATGTTACAACATATCAATGATTTGTCGTGGCAGTACTATAATTTGTCTTTGCAGCTGGAGTCATAAACTAAATGTTAAGGTTGTGATTGTTTTAATTAAATGATATACCTTTCATGTCAAAGTAAAAAGCATTTCAACATAGTTCTTATGTGAAAACTAGAATGTTTTATACCTAAAATGAAAATAAGCAATTTCATTTTAGTTAAATTCCTAAGAAGCTATGTCACATAAATACCCTAAGCCTTTAATGCATGGGTACCAGCGCATGGACTGATGGGTTCAAACTTCAGCGTGGGTGTGTGAACTTCCAAAACTAGAATATTTAATTCATGTGCTAAAAGTACATAGTGATTAAGGAATGATGGTTGAATGCTTGACAGTGATGGAATGAATTTCTGTAGATTGACTCCAACAGGCTTAATATATAGTGATTGATTAGTATGTTGCAAGGAAAAAACCAAATACCTTATTCTTAAGTACAACTATGTGATCTAAGATAATTTTGTTTAACTATTCTGAAATCTAAATTGTCTGTACAATTTTTGAGTTGATTACTGCATTACTGTAATTGTCAAAGTTATGTAAATAAAATTATATATGGAATTGAAAAAGAATTAATGTTCCCATCCAGTCTTATTGTTCCTTGAAGTGTAAGTTGCTGCTGCTATTACTTTGAGAACACTTCTTGGTGTTTCAAAATAGAGTTTTTGGTTTCATAGTTTTTGTTAGATTAGGGACCCTTTTGTTTAAGCTTTTAAAACAAGTGATTTATAATTTTATACTTTTCGAGCTTTTATATATAGCATAATTGCATAAGCTATTTTTTGTTTGGTTACAATAATAATTTTTTTTATAATTTTAAAGGTAGTTGTAATTTTTTCAGTAGCTTCTTAAAATAATTTTTTTATCAGATATTAATTTTTTCAAAGCTTAAACAAGCAAAACTAAATTTTTTTAAAGTGGTTTTTTTAAAATAAAGTATTTTTTTTCAATGAAAGAAGTTGATGAAACAAATGGCTTTAGATACACAACTAATAATAAACCCTCACATATAAGCTAGGGTGTTTTAAACTTTAAGAAAACCTAAATAACTTTGTTTTAAAGGTATTCTTCAGAAACTACTCATGTAGCTTATGAGAAATGCACTAAAGCAACAACAATAAAGTATTTTCTTTAATGAAATAAGCTGATGAAACAAACGGGCTTTAGATACACAACTAATAATAAGCCCTCACATATAAGCTAGGGTGTTTTGAACTTAAAAAAATCTAAAATAGCTTTGTTTTAAAGGTATGCTTCAGAAACTACTCATTGTAGCTTATGAGAAATGTACTACAGCAACAACAATAAAGTCTTTTCACGCTAGGTGAAGTCAGGTACATGGATCAAATGACATAATGTTCTATGGTAAGACTTGTCCATATACATACCATTGACTTCTAAATCCTTCTTAATGGTTTCATCTAAAGTTTTTTTAAAATATAAACAACACAAGCAGATGGGTTCTTAAGCTTTTGGACTGTTTGTCCTTAAATTATGGGGGGCTTCTATGACCAAGTGCTCATTGGATCCATGCCCCCCTGTTCTTCTGAAAAAAAAGTTGAATTTTGGCACAAGGTAGAGTGGGTCTGTGTATTGTCCATGCTCCAAGCCCATAATGTCCTAACTTTAGTGGGGCATGTTAGATATAAACTAGTCATGAACCTTCATCTAAAAACTTAAGCTTCTAGGTGAGTTCATTTGGCTCTTGTCAGTTGTCATGTATACTTACTGACGAACTGCCTTATTTTTACTTTTTGTTTACAAATATATATTTCATGTTGACATGTACATTTTATTTACAACAGTTTGTTTTTTATGTGTATAGATAGAGAAAGGTGCATGCTACATATTATTTAAAGACTTCAGCAGCCCAGTAATTTATCATGAGGACACAGGTCTTGAAATTCTATGCAAAGGTAATGGTGCATTTTCTATGCATAACATTATAGACAATGTGTTATTTGACTATATTTCATATTTTTGTAATTTTGTATGCATGTTTACAATTTTTAACCTTGGTCTCAAATGTAGCTGTTCGGGAGTTACAGGTGCAACCAAGTGGTGATTCTAAGCTGCGCAATATATTGAGATCTACATCTTGGAAGCAAGATGGGATCACTAAGGATCAATATATTTTTTCTCCAGCTCAGAATTTACTTCTATATTACCCAGGTAACAAAAAGGTTAATTAATGGCTTTTTCGTATTTCTTCCATCTCCTAGTAGAGTTGGCAGACAGTTTCTTGAGAATAGGGTTAATAAATGAAATGAAATCCCTGATACTTTATGTTTCCTTTCAAATACTACATTGTGTTGCGGCCCAAAATAGTCAGGAAGGAATTATGATCCAGCAACCATATAAGAGGCCCATAATCTGGAGGGTTTATAAGAGGAGAAATGAAGGAATGAGTAATGAGCTGGCAAAGAGAGAAGGCGGTAGGAAGAGTTAGTTATGACGTGATGCATCTTTCCTTATAGGGGGAGGGGGTGTAGTGAGAGGGTATCGAGGAATATTTGTTGGTTAGTTATGGATAGAGAGCAGTAGCTCTCTATAGGATTCAGGCTCTAGGTAGTAGCAATTGTATTCCTGCTAATATTTTATCCTTTCAATTATACAAATTCAATATATTCCTCACATCTTTTTCATTATTCATCTTAATTTCTTCATTGTTGGATTCAGTTTGTAACACATTGTTAATTAGAATATGCATGTATATCACTGTAAAATGTCTTAATCAGTTTGTCACCAATTGTTGTGGAGTGAATCTAATGTTATACTAGGGAATAAAAACTGTTTGTTTATCTGAAGCATAATGGTGTCGTGAAAGCAGGAATGCATACATTGTGCTGCTTGACCAAAATTCTATCTGTTTAAATGGGCTTCACCTCTTACCAGCATTTGAACTTGGTACCTTAGGAAAATGTCTCCTATTCCCTACACTTACCATAAAGAGTAGAGAGTCTAAAGACCATCTGATTTAGATGAGTTGGCCATACAGCACTAGGAAGCATGGATACTTCAAAACAGTAGCCGTTTCTGTGTTGTATCATGTTGGATACATATTTATGTTAGAACTTAATAGACACTTCTACTTATATTTTGTAATTTTTTATAAAATTTTTTTGAACTTTATATCAATAAATTAGAATATTATAATAAATCTATAAATGATATTATTTTATCATGTCTAAAATGACTTGTGCTAAAATTTAAATTATCTTTTGCTTTAATATTTGTGTTTCTATATTGTTTTTTTTGACTAATTTTATGTATTGCATTATAGCTGTGTCGTGTCCTATAATTTTTTAAATTTATTGTGTCCCTATCTCTGTATTGTATCATATTTGTGTCACATCGTATCCATGGTTATTGCAGATGGTTAGCTGTTGCAACTTCTCTGTGTGATTGGTAGACATTTTTTTTACGTAGTTTGAAACCCAGAGAATAAATATTTTGATGGAGTTGGTCTACTCCAAATATAGTATGATAGCTTTGAAAATGGTGGCAATCATTGGATATTGGATAACATCGCCACTATCTTCACTGTTTTGTTTCTTTGTGCAATTCTTTCATGCATTTGGTTGGAGCTGAATGCTCCATCTTTGAGGGTGCTCTTTGCCTGAAAACTTGTTATGTGTCATGATTATCTATATGTTTCTATTCTCTGTTATTCTAATGGATGTCAGCTTTATTGCATCAATTTTTTATGTTCATTGTTGTATCTTGTTTCTGCTTTGAACATTACTTCATCCTCCTCAAAGTTGAACTTTCTGCTTTCATCCTTGGCTATAAAAAACAAAAAGGTTTGTAACCATCCACACAATTTTTTTATTAGTTTGTCACATCAGCTGTTACTGATTCAAAGCTGATTAGTGCTCTAAGTTTTGAGCTGATTCGTCTTCTTGTTAATACAGCACTTAGTAATATTATACTGATAGAAATCAGAGAAAATGTGATGTATTATTTAATATCAGCTAGTGACAGTGGTTGCAATCACTACCAGAGCCTAAGGCTCCTACTTATAAAGAGAATTTTTGTTCTCATAAAGAAATGAAACAAACACATTCTCATTCCCCTCTGCCATCCTTCCTATCTCATTCCACTTTAACTAATGCAATGAGTTACACATTTACCCTTACTTTTCTTCTTTCTTGAATATATCCTCCATATTTTGGACATTTTGTTTGTGCCCATTAACTTATCCCTTTCTTTTCTAGCAAACTCATCACTATAACTTAAACATTTCCATCATATACTTACTGATTAGCACCCAATTTTCCTCAATCCCCTCTCTTAATTCTATACAATTTTTATTGCCATGGCCATTCAAATGCTTTTCTTAATGGGATATTGATAGATAAGCCCTATGGCAGTTAGTTACAGAATTATAAATAGAAGGGGCAATATAAATAATTGGGTGGGAAAGAGAGAGGGGAGGGAATAATCATAATTCAGTTGTGGGAGAGTTTCCTGATCTCTCAAATATCCATGGGAGTTATTGCTGTGTCATTTTCCTAATTTGTTGTTCTGCTTCTACATTGGGAGTAGGGCTGCAATTGGGTTTTTCTCTTAATAGTCTTGAAGACTTAAAATATCATTTGGGTTTAGAAACTAAATCACAAGATTTATAATACATAATAACTAGAAAGAGTTTAGCGATAACTTACTTTCATGTTTCTGGTCTATCTTGATTGAAACTAATTTGATATTACAATTCTTCTTTTTCTATTTTACAGGTTGCGTCTCTGCAGATGAAAGTGCTAAGCGCCTCTTCTTTTCTGATTGCAATCATCATAGGATTATTGTATCTGACGAGAATGGAGAGATTTTGGACTGTGTATGTATACTAATTATTGAAAGTGTAGTTCTAGATTCAATTTTATTTCATATCCTTTTTTAGCTTATTTTTCTGTGCCATCTAGTGATTGCAAAACAGTCATGGTTTTCAACCACTGTTCTTGCACTATGATATCTTCATAAGAGCATGCACATACAAGCAAGCATACCTCTCTCTCTCTTTCAAGCTCATATACTCACTCTCTGATTTGTATGTTTAAGCAAAGGATAAATGCAACCCCACCTCCGGTCCCATAGTCGGTCTCAATATAAAATATATACATATGTAGATAATGCTAAAAAAATATGCATAAATAGCATATGAATAATTATCAACAAAAAACATAAAGAAAAGAAATAAAGTGGATTTTCTGGGAGAACATAACAAAGGCAGGACTGTAGAATCATAGAATAGTGAGAAGAAAGGAAGTGGGTTTTGCTAGAGAAGTCATCCAAGATGAGTGACTCTGCTGGATTGGAGATTGATGCAAAGCAAAACATAGACAGAGATCAAGAGGAGTGAGTGTCAAACAGAGAAGGGGAGAAGAAAAAGAGTGTAGAAAAAGTGGGGTTTTGTCATGTGTCTCCAATTGCAAAGCAACACAGCAATAGAGATGAGAGGAAGGGGTGTCAAAGAGAGAAAGGAAGGAGAAAAATGCAGGGAAAAGTCAGGTTAGGTCTGAAAACTGAGAAGACAATTTTACCCTTAAAAAGCCTAAAGACTGTGACATCATAAGAGCAAATACGAAAGATCAGCTTATTTCTAAAAGATTAAAAGCCTTTTTTACCCTTTAAAAAACCTAAAATTCCTTCATTTTGAGGGTAGTAAAGGAAAGTTAGCATCTATCCTTGTGGTGGTGCTATTGCATTGTGAAAGGCCGCGAATACAGCTATGATGGTCGTGACAGAAAAAACGTTTCGTGATGCCAGATCCATAGCTGTTAATAGCGGCCCCTATTTCATCCTAGGGCAAAAGGGCAAGTTTGCACTTCCTTTCTGAAGGTCGGAATGCTTTTTAAGGGGAGTAATCTTGGGATTTCACCCCTTTTTTATATGTCAAACAGGGATGAAAAGGCAAATTTTGCCTTCTTTTTATATTCTTGAAAGTTGGAATCCTACCTCTATCTTTGTTTTCTCATTCTCTTGCTTCTTCACCCTCCATCTCCAACGTTACTTTTTGGTTCAAGTCATCATTTTCAGCCAAGATCCGGTCATCGTCTTTATCTCCGGTGAAACCCAACTTATTTCTAACATGAACAAAGACATTTTCCAGTTCCCTTCTTCATCTCTAGTGTAACCTAAGCCATTTTTGACGAGATGTAGACTTTTTTTTATGACAGTGAGATATTTTCCAGTGAGACCATTTGCATTAACGATTTTTTTGGTGACTGAACAATCTTTGATCTACTTTCCTTCTCTGTTTTGATTGTCTTCAAAATAACAGTGATTCCGCTATCGGCTATCCCTCTATAGCGTTTTTGGGATTGATTGCTCCACGCTGTTATTTGGGATTGACTATTATGGTCATAGATATACTTACCAATGACATACAATTTTTTTTTCCAAATGCATGCCTTTTGCAGATCACGTAGTCTTAGTTGATAAATAAAAAAAAATTTAACTCTAAATTTGAGCTTTGAAGCTAAATTTTGGAATCTAAGGATTTTTTCTTGGATAAAAGTAAAATATAGAGTATATATATTGCAATTTTAGTAAGAAACAATATGATGATTTTGTGTTGCAAGTTAAAATTGGAGATGATATAATATCATATGTTTCCAAGTTCAAATATTTTGAGATTGATTCTATAAAATAAAAAAAAAATTAATGAAAATCTTAGTCATAAAAAAAAAAGGTTAGGTGATTAAAATGAAAAATGATGTTGAGAGTTATTTATTATCATAAAGTAATAATTAAGCTTAAAGGACAGGAAATTTTATTGTATTTCTATACGATACGCTATCATATATGGTGGTGAATTGAGTTTTAAAAGGTTAAGACAAGAAAAGAGTAGAGTTGTAGAAAATGAGAATGCTGAAATGAATGAGTGGTCACATGGGAATGGATATGATAAGTGATTGAATATGAGGGAATATTGAAGTAGCACTTATTGGAAAAAAGATGGTATCAAAAAATGTTTCAGGTCGTTTGAACATGGGCAAAGAAGACTACTAAAGTCACTAGTAAAGAGTGGATGACATGACTTTTAGCCTGATGAGAAGTAGATGAAGACGCATAATAACTTTGGAGGGAATTATTATAAAGGATCTAATGGTAAATAATATTTCAGAGAATTTTGTTTTTGATTGAGTTCAATGGTGTTATATGATTTGTGTAGCCAACTTCTTCTAGTGAAACAAGACTTAATTATTACTATTGTTGTAAGCAGAGGATAAATGTGTTGATGTTATACTTGATTGAAAGGATAACTTTTCTTATTATGTTCAAATTATAACTATCTCATTCATTTCTACTAATTATTTTTTAGTGCATATATCTGTATGATTAACTTGTGCATATACTCTTGTATTATCCACTTGTACCATGGGATGTAGAGAACCTTGTCTTTAGTTAGAAATAATTCTTGGACTTAAAGATGGTTTATAGTACATGAGAACAACAAACTGATAAACACAAACTAACCAACTAATTAACCTAATCCCTAAATTGTTTTGATTACACATATTGTTGTTACCTAATTATTAATAATGACATTTTAACACTTCCCTTTAAGTTGAAGGATATATGTCATATCCATCTAGCTTGTTACATATATAAAGTATTCTAGGACCTGTAAAGATTTAGTGAAAATGTTATCAAGCTGCTCCTTGGAATAATCGATGAAATTTTAATGATTTTAGAAGAAATATTTTATCTAATGAGATCAATCAACTTCTATATACTTAGTCCTCTTATGAAACATTGGGTTGGAGGAGAGGTATAAGGTAGACTAGCTCCATAGGGGCTAGGGTCAGCCTTAGAAAAGTGCAACTCCTGAGTAAATGCTTCAACCACCAAAGCTCAAAAGCAGTGTGAGACATGAGCCATACCTCCATATTCAGTCACTGCACTTGACTTGCCAACAGCATTTTGCTTTATACTTTTCCATGAAATGAGGTTACCATCTATAAAAATAGTATCTTAAAGTGGATCATCCATCACACGAATATGCTGCCCAATGAGCATTTGAGTGTCCAACAATATTAATATGACTGCTATCAATATAAACAAGTCCCTTTCCAAGAGATTCTTTGATGTACCTAAGAATCCAAATAACAACATGCCAATGATTATCATGTCAAGAATTAAAGAACTAAGTTATAACACTAGCTAGAAATTATATATTTAGTCTTGTCATGGTAAGATAATTTAGTTCTCACTAGTCTTTGGCATCTTCTTGGGTCTGGATAAGGGTAAAACCTTCGAGAAATAAGACAAGGGAGCTAAATCCTTAGTTTGAATTTGCTAGAATAAGTGTTGTAGAGCTTTAATGCCTTCTTGGTTATCTACTGTAATCATAATATCATCAACATAAACTATTGGATAAATGTATTTGTTTAACATAAATGTTTAAAGAAAATATAGTGACGCGTTTTACAGTTGAGCATTCCAAATTGTTGAATTACTTTGCTAAATCACTCAAACCAAGTTTGAGGAGATTGTTTTATCCCATTCAAAGAACTATGCAATTTGCAAACAAGATCTTGCTCCCCTTGACAACAAACCTTGATGGTTGCTCCATGTAAATTTCCTCTTCTAACTCACCATGTTGAAATCCATTCTTAATGTCTAACTAAATCAAGTGCCAATGTCTAATTATGATTGGAGAGAAAGTATCACTATAATCAGCACCATACACTAGGGCAAGCTTTAAATTTATTCATCCATTCATTAGAACCAATTTTGACATTATAGATCCACATCTACCTACAACTAACACAAATTTTCAGAACGTGGTTGAACAAGTTCCCAAGTATAGTTAGATTTGAAAGCTTACATTTCATCAATCATTGCTTGTCAACTATTGCTACCTAGATGGGATACACTTCCTGAACCTATTTAGGAATGGTGATAGAAGAAAGTGTAGAAACATAGTAGGAAGAGGACAAATGATGGTAAGATAAAAAATTATAAATGGGATGAACATTAAGAGTGGATTGTTTAACTTTTTGGAAAGCAATGGGCTGAACATTAAGAGTGGATTGTTTAACTTTTTGAAAAGTAATGGGCTGATGATCTAAGGCAGAGGGATCTGGAGCAGGTGATGAAATAGTAGCCAAGGTTGAATCATTAACTAACCTAATCCCTAAACTATGATGATAATAAGCCATAGCTAAAACAAAAATTTTTGTTATATAATAACAATATCTTTATAGTCTTCTACAAGTAAGGATTTTCATTTTAGATTCTCTCTTTTCATCTCGTATTTGTATTTGCTGAAAGAAAACCCTATGTTAGGTAATTCGTAGTTAGTCATCCATTAGTGATTACAATATGTTAGTTAATTGGCCATGCTGCCTAAAGAGGATATGGGGGGAAATGTCATGGGAATTGAGAGCATTGGGAGGGAACCGGGTCTCTCCAATACTTGGATTGTACTAGACTTTCTATTAATAAAGACAATATTTATTCAATATCTAAACCAATTTGTATCAAGTTTATAAGGTCTTGAGCTCTTCAACTACAACGACTAACTTTGGTTGTGTGGTTCTTTTAAGATTCGTATAAATTGGTATCAAAGCCTTTTGCTATGTCTACCAGCTGCAAATGGGCAATGCGGGTGAGGTGTTTGCCTAGAATTAGTCAAAAGGGCTAGTGCACAGCTAGTTTGTTGAGCTCTAGGGCATAAAAAAGATTCAAATGGAGAGGAAGAGTAAGGTATGAGACTTGAGTTTTACATTGGAAGTATAAGATTCAAATGTAGGGTTTATATGGCCTTGGACACTCCAACTACAATGGTTAGCTTTTCTGATGTGGTTTTCTCAATTTTCTTATCACCCTAATATAGGTAAGGAGGGGCAGTGGAGGGGAAGGGGTGTTAAGGATCTGACTTACCACGCTAATTGCAAAAAAGATGCCTAGGCAAGTAATTGTCAAATAGTTTAATTTTTCAACTTTCTATACCTTTCCAAATCTAAAAGTGGCTCCCCTTGACATGGCAGCAATGTTGTCAAATAATGGCCATAGCGGTATCATGGCATTTTTCACCCAAACTGCCACAACCATGCCAAAAAATGGCGGATTTATGATGATGGCAGCTATGGCCAAAAATGTTAGTTTTTGAGGAAAAAATCAAAATGGGCCTCTAAGGTGATCCAATCCAAAGTGACCTAAGAATCCCAAAGCATATGTCTCAATAGTGCTGCTATTGCGCCGCCGCTAAACACTTGCTGTTAAGGAGTGTTTTCCCATCGTAGAGGTTGTGCCCAGACAAATTTTCAGTGTGGGTGCTCGTTTTAAAGTGTGATGGAAAGGGGCCAAAAAGTTCGACTATGGCCTTGCTACAGTGTTGAGCCTCTTTTAAGGGCAAAAGGACTTCTGTCCCACTTAAAATTTTTTCCTTCTCAGGCAGCATCCTTCTACATGGTACTAAACCTATTCTCTCTCTTGCTTTGTTTTTCTGCTTTCTCTTTGAAGCCAACTTTTCCTTAACCATGTTCGCCAGAGAAGACATTCTTTCTGGCTGTTTTCTAGGGACTGTGAGTGGAGGGGCCTGTTTTTTGGCATCTATTTTCCATTTTGCTTCTCTGTGCCCTGTTTTTCTGCTTCAAACAGTGTTCTATTTGTCACTCTATCTGCATCTATTTTTCTTCTTCTGGTGCTTTGTTTTCTTCTTCAAATAGCACTCTATTTCTCACTTAGACTGCATCTTCTCCAAAGGCTGTGTTTCTTTTCCATCATTTTCCAGCTATAGTATTATCCTTTTTTACATATAGCCCAAAAAACTGGGACCTATAGTGTTTTTCTATATATTGTAGTGTTTTATATATATAAGCAACCATGACATCCGCCATAATTTTATGGTAATTTTTTGGCTGTTTGCCATGACCTGCCATCCACCATTGATTACATTGCTTGACATAAGTTTGGTATTAAGATTGGTAAGAGTATCAACAAGTTTGACCCCCATCAATCCTATTTCCTCTAGGATATCCATTGCATACTTCCTTTGGAAAATCATACCACCACTCTTGGATTGTGCCATGTCAATTCCCTAGAAGTATCAAAGTTTACTAAGATCTTTTGTTTGAAAGTGCTGACAGAGATGATGCTTTACCTGATCAATGTCATAGTGATCACTTCTTCTAATGATAATGTCATCTACATACACAATTAAGTATATACAACATGAGATTGAATGGCGATAAAAAAATTGAGTGATCAACTTCACTTCAAGTCATGCCAAACTGTTGAACTACTGTGCTAGATCTACCAAACATGCCCTTGGAGATTGTTTGAGACCATAAAATGATTTCTAGAGATGACAAACAAGTCTTGAAGATTCCCCTTGAGCAACTATTCCAAGAGACCTCCATATATACTTCTTTTACAAGATCACCATGAAGGAAAACATTTTTTATATTAAACTTATAATAAGGCCAGTGACGAATAGCTGCCATAGACAGGAGTAGCCAAACAAACTTCATTTTGGCTACAAGGGAGAAAGTGTCATTGTAATCCAAGCCAAATATCTGTGTATAACCTTTTACTATCAAACAAGCCTTAAGATAATCAATCTTACTGTCAGGACCAACCTTGACCATATAGATTTGTCAACCAACAACGAACTTTTCAGTAGGAAGAGGAACAAGGTTTCAAGTACTACGGTGGGAGAGAACATCACTTGTGGACTTAGAAATAGGAACTGGACTATGCTTATTTCCAATTGGAATGGGACTGTGGGATAGAGCATCACTTGTGGACTTAGAAATAGAAATAGAGACAGAAGGCAAGGAAGATAGACAAGTATAATGGAAAGAAGATAATTGATGATAAGTCAAAGAAACATTAAGGAGAGGGATTGCGAGTAGAGCATATAGGTTGGGCCTTAACATTAATTGGCCCAATCTTCCTTTTTCGATAATATAATATACTCTTTTAATTATAGGCTAATTTCTATCACATTCCAATGTCAACTACAGTAGTCAAAGTCACCATTCAATGAGGTTGGCACCAGCATAGCACAAAACTAAGAGGTCCAAAACATGTGTCAAGTTACAATGATGCCCTTTTGCATAGTTCTTCAGGGTTATTTCGTTCTCAAGAAATCCCACTGGAGTTTTGAAAGCTCAGATCTATAAGGAGGGAATGTCTAGACTTTTATTCAAAATTATGAAGGAGGCCAATCCATGCTTTGTTTTTGGTGAAAACTCAAAACATGCTCACCATTTGAGGAACCCATTCCTGCTGCTCAATGTGCTTTCTTGGGAAGGGATGGTGAAGGGGCAGCTACAAGGAAGGATTTCCTATGTTACACCTTGTTGACTGTGCGGCTGCCCACAACTTCACCAAAGAATTAGCCATGTCGTTTGGACTGCCAGCCACTAAAACACTGAAATTTGGGATCAGATTGGGGAATGGCACCATGTGTTTTTCATTTTCCATGGGAAAATGCAATGATTAGGTGATCATGATTGGTTGAAACCATAGTAGTAATAGCGGCCATAGCAGCTGCTATCGTGGTGGAGCAGAGCAGCACGATGCCATTATGGAGACTTAATAGCGTTGCGGTTCAGAAGAGCAGCTGTCACGCTGCGAATCGTGGCAAAATATGGCAAAAATCACTGCTGTCGCAACCACTATTCTATTATTGATGAAATTCCAAACTTGCCTTCTGTTTCTAAACGTTGGGCAACTATTAAGGGGGTTAATATTGGGATTTCACCCCCTCTTATTTTATGATATCTTCCCACTCCCTCTTTCGGGAGTCCTAAGCTTCTCTTTTCATCTCTCCTCTCATTTCATCTTTGTTCTCTATGATACCACTGCTTCTGGTGGTCTTCATCTGTGACAAGGCTTCTGACGTGATAGAGACGTTCTCTTGTCATGTTCATCTTTGGGGAAGCTTCCAACGTGATCCAGATTATTTTTAGTCGTTTTCATCTCTGTTTGTCTTCTTCAAGTTTAGTGAAGCTTCTAACATCACCCAGACATTTTCTAGTCATTTTCTACATCTCTAGGAAACTTTCTAGTGAACCTGCACATTTTTGGTGACTTTTTTCCTATTTTCCTTCTCTGTTTTTTTATTTTCTTTTTTGTTTTGATTCTCCTACTCTGTTCAGTTCCAAATTTGAAAGCTTAAAGTAGAAGTAATGGCTGCTCTTTCACCCTTCGCTATTTTTTATTTATTTCCTTCTCTGATTTGAGTTTTCCTTTTTTGTTTTGTTCCAAATTTTTGTGTTAATTTTATATTTTTCAGCATGTATATGTGTATTAAAACTTTAGAATAGTGGTCATCCTGCTACCGCTATATCGCTAGTGTTTTTGAGATTTGAGATTAGCCTGGTGTACCATAAGTGTCATGATTTTTATTATGTCAACCAATCAGAATACATTGTTGATCTATTTTCATATTAGTTATTACAAAAATCATTTTTTGCTGATATGACAATCCATAATTGGGGTTACTACTTACTATGTAAAAAATCTTTACACTGTTTAGATTAAATTCTTTTAAAATTGGGAGAGATTGATCTGATTATACGAGTGGAATTGTGAAAAGGCTAGATTCTTGAGAAGTAAAATGTATGTTACCATTAAATTTATGTATATTACTTATTACATATAGGCACAAATCTTAAATAGGGATGTTAATGTTTCATAAGTTATCTATAACCATTGTAATATAGACAAAATAAACAATATTATTGATGAATTATATGGATTTAGGCAGGAAAGGAGAAAAACAGAGAATAAGCATGATGCATGAATAATCTTAATTTGATATGATAGAACGTACAAGTTACTAATTCTTATTTCTATACTATTACTTGATTCCTATTTCTAACTATTTAAATATGGAAATAAATTATGAATTCTTATGAAAATATAGGAACCACTTGTAAGAGATTGTCTAAGTTATTCTAAAATACAATTAAAATAATATGAAATATCTTCTAGATATTTTATCAGTTATCTATCTAATGATTGTGGCACCCCTCCGATATTGGTGTACAAATTCAAAATTATAAAATTCTAGGATATTGGATAGTGGTATTGACTGATAATTCATGAGCAGTGTTGGACAGCAGAATTCCTGTGGTGACCACTGCCAATTTTGTGGTGTATGCTTCATTTAGTCAGGTCTTGTGTTGGGTTTCCTTTCTTTTGCCATCATTTTGCAGCAGAAATTTCCCCACTTAGTTCATATTATAAATGTAGTTATGCAGTTCACTGTCAGACACTGTTCAACTACTGGCTGCGTTTTTGTCAGGATGATGTAGCACTAACTTTGTATTTCATTTTAATCTTAAATCTTTAGTATCTACAGAAAAGAATGGAACTATAAATTTTATGTCACACTTCCATTGTCTCCTTCAGATTGGCTCTTCTCCAGGATTTGAGGATGGAGATTTCGAATCTGCTAAATTAAGGCGTCCTGCAGGTTCTTATTACCATGATACTGAGGATTGCTTATATTTTGTGGATTCAGAGGTATGGATTTTGATTTATATAATAATTATCATTAGATTTCTGCCCAGGTTCAATTGATGAAAAATGTAAATCAATTTGAATATCCAAGGTTAATATCCCTTTTAATCGTCATCTATATCTCTGTCAAGGCTGCTATATATTTTCAGGCCAATTTTCAAGGATTTGTATAAAACACAATGTTGACTTTTCTTAAAATGGAATAGATTGAACTTTTTGTGAACTTAGTGATCAAAAAGTTTACCTCAAACATACAAAAACTTCTTCAGTTTCTTCCTTCATAATTGTTCCTTGCAGTACAATTGAATATTTTGGTGATAATGTGTATGTTTTGGTCTTTTGCTATCATAGGAATTGCAGTACTCTCCATATATTCTTTTCCCTTTCTATTTCAAGAAATGCTGTGTTATGAATAAAATGTTTCTTTTGTCAATTGTGTGAAGGAAGAAAAGTTTTGTTACACGAGAAATACAAGAAAGGGCAGCACAGGATATAAGAGCCCTTTGTTTATTTATTTATTTTTTCATGAAAAAGGTATTCTTTTTAAAAAATAATCGCTTCTTCAGTACTTTAGATTGGCTAAGATTATGAAAAAATCAGAAGCTGAAAATAATCTGATTTTTGAGAATCTGTTTTAATTAGCGTTTAGAAAAAAGCTAAAATTATAACTACCTATTAAAATAAAAAGCACCTTTTATAATTGTAGCAAAAAAGAAAAAATAACTTCTACTTTTTATAAAATCTCTAAAAATAAATTGCCTTTTATACATTCTTAAATCACTTTTTTCAAAATGGAAACAAATGAACCTTATTGCCTTAACACAATAATACCTAGTAATGGGAACAACAACAACTAAGCCTTATTTCACTAGGCAAGGTCGACTACATGGATCACAAGACTATTGAGCTCGGTCAAAAACTAATTTTTCAGAAATTTAGTTAATCAAAAGGTCTCTTTTAATCAATGTTATCAATGGCGGATGGCGGCTCATGGCGGAAACTCAAAAAACTGTCATAAAGTTATGGCGTCCGCCATGGCGGATTTATGGTGGATGTAATAAAATATATAAAAAAATACTATAGGTCACAGAAAATAATAGAAAATAATTAACTAAAAATATATATAACATAACCTTCAATCTAAAGTATAATTAAATACAAAATATGTAATTATCAAATGTCAAGTTAACAATAAAAATAAAGATAATCAATTTAGTCTTCTTCTTCAACTCCAACATAATCATCCTCTTTCTCATCCACCAAGGCATATCCCTCCTCCTCTTCTCCTTCAGATTGTGAAAGATTAAATTTTAATTCATCTTCTGTTTCTTCCGACATTTTTTCATCTTCTAATTCTTCATCATCATCTTCAAGAACTATTTTCTCTTTTCCTTTTGTTGTTGAACATGCCTTGATTTTGGAAACTTTTGCAGCTTTGATAGTGATACCACTTGATGGACTCTTTCTTTTCTTAGAATGACGCCTAGTATATGTTGTAGGCTCTCTAATTCCAGAAGCTTCATAAATAGTTGTCTAATTTAAAGTGTTATCACCATAAAAAACTAAGTCATTTCCAGCATCCTCATCTAGAGCATCATCATCCATTTCTCCAATTAACTACTCATTACACTCATCAATATCATTGAGTGTAATTGTATCAATGACATCTTTAAGATTGTAACGTTCTTTGAGTTGTTGGTTGTATTTCACATAAATCAAGTCATGTAATTTTTTGTGATCAAGCCTATTTCTCTTCTTTGAATGAATCTGCAACGTGAGTTTAATTATAAGAATATTAATTAATTTTTCTCTAATTTATAAAAGAAAGTAGTAGGCTCGAGAGATAAAAAATTACTTGCTTAAAAACACTCCAGTTGCGTTCACATCCGGATGCACTACATGTCAAGCTCAAAATTTTGATAGCTAGTTGCTGCAAATGTGGAGCTGAATGTCCATACATTCTCCACCATTGAGCTATAAAATGAAAGATAAATTATAACTCTGAAGATGAAGTAAAACCTTAAAATTAAAATATTGAAGAATTTGATGAATTACCGGGAGCAATGCTTTTTCTTTGTGATTTTGCAAAGTAGGACCCAAAGAGACTACCACCGCTCTTGTAAATTGGTAATTCAAGTAGTATGCTTTGTTGCACATCCCGACTTGGCACCAACCTCTTGATACAATCATACAACCCATTTGTAACTTCCAAATCAAATTCAATTTGAGGGTTGTCATAGTAAAATTTTGAGTTTAAAATGCAGCTGCATGTAATGGACAGTGAAGCTGACAAGTCCATCTGTTATCAATGATTGCAAACACATTTTTGTATTTACTTTCATTATTTTTGAATGACTTTATGATAGCTTTTTTACTTTTCTCCATTGCTTCATAAATATACCCCATAGCTGGTCTTCTTTCTCCATCAACCAAATGTAACACCCGGACAAGAGGAACCATGATTTTCAAAGTATACACCACATTATTCCAAAATACAGGATTTAATAGAATTTTTGTTGCTTGCTTCCCTTTAGCTTCCTTTGATAACTTGTTTTTACACCATTTCTCAGAAATAAACATCTTTCTAAGATTTGCTTTTTCTTGGTGAAGCCTTTCTAATGATAGAAAAGAAGTTGCAAATCGAGTAACTGCATATCTTACCAATTCTCTCTTGTTTGTAAAATTTCTCAACAAACTCAAGGTACTTGAATGACTGTAAATAAAGCCAACAACCGATATTCCCCTTTGAATTGTCTTCTTTATCAAAGGAAGCTTTCCAATATCTTAAAGTATAAGATCTATGCAATGAGCTGCACAAGGAGTCCAATAAAGATGTGGTCTTTTCGCTTCTAACATCTTATCAGCCAAGACATAATTGCTTCTATTATCCATTATCACTTGCACAACTTTATCTTCTCCAATCTCTTTCACAAGAGCATCAAGCATCTCAAATAACTTTTCACCGGTCTTCACAAAATTAGATCCATCAATAGACCTCACAAACATAGTACCAGCAGGAGAGTTGACAAAAAAATTAATCAAGCATCTTTGCTTTCGATCGGTCCATGCATCTGACATTATGGAACAACATGTTTGCTCCATTGCTCTTTATGATCTTTCATGAGGGAATCGGTATATTCTAGCTCTTTCTTTAGAAGTGAAACTTAAATATCATGATAACTTGGAGCTGGTAAATTTGGACCGAAAGCACCAACAGCTGTAAGCATTTCTTGAAAGCTCTTCATTTTAATGAGGTTAAAGGAAAGGCCAGCTTGATACCAAAATCGAGCTATGTATTGATGGACCTTTGCCTTGGCTTCTTTGTCATATCGTTCTCTTATATTTGTTTGTCTCAATTTTTCCTTTTTTCTTTTCTCAATTGCACTTTCAGGCTTTCTACAAAACAAGTCCATTGGCCCTTTCTGATTTCCAATGGCAACGCTACGGGTTTGGGTATTCTCTTCATCCTCACTTACATCATAGCTTATACCTTAAAAGCTTTTTACATTTGACATCTCAAAATTATTTTGATTCTTTTTTTCCTTTTAATATGTCTCAATCTCTTTTCTAACTTCTTCCGGACACTTGGGACAAGCTTTCACGTTACCCTTCTTTCCAATTAAATGTTGTTTCACTCTAGTGATTCCAGCACTTATAACTTTTCCACAAAAATTACATACAATGTTGTTTGTATCTCCATCTTTCACCGAATAAGCATATTTCCATCCTGGGTCAAAACGATTAGAAGTTCTTGAACAATTTGATAAAGACTCATGTTGAGCCATGTTAAGAGTAGCTGAAATAAATAGAATTTTTTTTTGAGGAAAATCAGAGAAAAATAGAGATGTGGGAGAGGTAGAAATTGAAAGATGGAAAGGGTAAAATTTAAATGGGGGAAATAAAGAAAAAATTGAGAGGAAAAATGAAAAAAAATAGCTACCAGAAAAATGGAGTCGCTGGAGATGGAGGTGCAGTCGTCAGAAATGGAGGTTGGAGTCACCAGAGATGGTGCAGTCGCCGGAGATGCAGCTGCAGTCGCCGAAAATACAGACCGAAATGCACCAAAACAGAAACACAAAGAGCCCAAGAAAATGAGATCTCAGCAGCGAGATCTCAGAGAAAGCAGTCGCAGAGAGAGAGAGAAGTGGTCGCAGAGAGATCTCAGAAGCAGTCGCAGAGAGAGAGAGAGATGGAGGGAGAGAAAAGAGATGAGCAGAGTGGAGAGTGAGTGGAGAGTGAGATCGCAGAGAGAGTGCGATTGCAAAGAGAGGAAGAGTGAGATCGTAAGGAGAAGAGAGAGAAAAAACCTGGATTAAGGCAGTTGGGTTCTGAACTGGGTCGGGTCGGATCTGGCCCAAAAGTGCAACAAATCCATTTTAAAAAAAAAAAAAGCCATTTATCACGATTTCCGCCATGGCTGGCCGTTACCGCCATGCTTGGAACGGCCGCCATGGCGTCGCCATGTCATTCCGCCACGCCACGCCATCTTCGTAACGGCGTCCGTCATTTCCGCCACGCCATGGCGCCGCCATAACAGCCATTTGACAACACTGCTTTTAATAACTTCACCTAAAATTCTTTTGGGTACTCAACTTTATCAGACTAAGAGGCATGTATTCCACTCTCCTTACTAGTGCTTCCAAAGGTTTTCTTTGCTCATGACCAAACCACTTTAGACAATTTTCAATCACCTTCACTTAGTAATTGGAACAAAATGGAATCAAAAAAGAAAGTTGGAATGAATATAAATTGGCAACCTCTAATTTTGTTATAACTGTTTTTTTGGTGATATGCCCGTTTAGATTTTTAAAATATAGGAGATTGCATGAGTTTTATTTGTGGAGCACCACAGACCTGAATAACAAGGTTACTGAGCATATACCTAGAGAGAAATAGCCAAAATTTTTATTGTGAAAAGGTTGAGGAGGGAACTCTTGAATTAGACATTTAGTATTACAAGTTTGAATTTTTTTGTTGGCAAAAGGACTGCTTTCTATATGATTATGCAGGTCTTTCCCAGCTGCAGTTACTTTCCTAAGTTGTTTTATGTTATTTGTTTGTTACTGTTGTTCTTCGAAACCTCTATGTACTTGAGTGATCCAGTGTGTTTGCTTCCCAGGCAGCTAGTTTTTACTATTTGAGGTTTCTTGGTAGCTTGTTCTTGAAAACCCCTATTTATGCTTGAGAGATGCATGTTGATTTGCTGCTTTTTACATCCATCCCTTTAAGGCTTAACATTGATCCAGAAAAAGTGTAGGACTTGAACTAGTAGTTTTCACTAACATAGGTGAGTTTACTAGGGAGAATGGTGTCATGATGAAAACTGCTATCTTCTCTTATCTGTGTCCTATCTTTGCGAATGATTTTTCTTTTAACTCAATTTATAAAGTGCTTTGTTCTTTTTTTGTAGATTGGTATAGCAGATTTATATACATGTATCTCTTGATAGAATTGTCTCTTATTATTTCTTTTATTTTGGTTCCTATTTGCTAAGAACCATGCTATTAGGAAAGCTGACATTGGAGCACGAACCGTGGAGACTCTCTATCCTACAACTGCATCAAACACAGGAGGTATTCGCATATGGAATTGGATCATGAGTAAGCTTGGTTTAGAAAGCAGTGGGGAGACCAATGTCGAGGAAAAATCTGAAGTATTTGATTCTAAATCGTTATGTTTTCCATGGCATTTGTTGAAATCAGTGGATGACACACTCTACATTATAGACCGCAGGTGAATAAGTACTTTTAATACTTTTTTTGTTAAAATACCGTGTACTCCCAATCTCCCTAATTGAAGAGGTTTCAAGTACTTGATGTGGATCAAACAGTTGTCATCAACTAAGATGTCCTACATTAGCTAGAAATAGAGTCAAAATACTCTATAAGAGTTTGTGTAGTCCTCCTCTTATGAGCTAACTTTTGGGTAGTGAGTGAGGCTCAAATTTTCTAATATGGTATCAAAACTAATTCAGTTTGAATGTTGGGTTGTCCACAAATGTCCAGCCTTGCAAACTTTATGCACCAGATGTCTAGTCCTAAGCATGAGAAATGTGTTAAGATGTCCTACATTGTCTAGGAATAGAGTTAAAATACTCCTTATAAAGTAGTCCTCCTCCTATGATGAGCTAGCTTTCTAATATCATCTATAAAAGGGAGATTATATTGATGATGGAATACTGAATTACAAATAAAAATAAGAGCAGTACTTGCTCCAAACAGAGGATATTCTCATTTCTCTTATGGCCAGATCAGATCTATATTCTCTCTCATCCATTCTCTATTCTCTTTCTAACTCATCTCTTCACTTAAATGTTTACTTCCATGTTACAATTAAGCTTTAATAGCACTAGGTTACAGGTATAAACTTGTAAGGGCTTCTCCCTCTTGGAGGATCCATGCTGAACTGTGCTTAGATCCACAGTTCTATCATGCAGAGACTTTAAAACTGAGACTAAACCACCTCATGTTTCAAGTAAAAATTAAAATCAAACTGTTGTGTAGGAATTGCTTCCCTACACCTTTTTTTTTGTATTGGAGGTGCTGTGGAGGAAAGATTTTTCATCTCATAAGAAATTCAAATTTATTGAGATCTTTGACTTTTAACCTCTGCACTATGCCTATAGTCCTAAAGAAACCTCAATTGAAGCTAAATGGTGGTGACTCACTGGATGTGGTTACTCCAAATAAGTAAACCAACCAAAGAAACCCAAATTTGCTCAGTGATTGCATGATCGAAGAAACATTCAAATGAGAGAAAGATGTATGAACCAGCCACTGTTTCTTGTCCTTTTTTTCAACAAATTTCCTAATTTATGCCTATGGGCACTTTAAAAACATTAGTTGGGTATATTAAATGCTTGCCTTTCTAACTAATTAAAAACATTAGTTGGGTGTATTAAAGCTCTCTATGACTATCACATGCCCATAGGCACACATTAGAAAAACCATTGTATCAGTATTGGCAGTGGGCAACAATTTGCATAACAAACTGAGATCATTTTGGTTGCCTACATTAGGTCACTGAAATCTGAATCTGTAGTTGGGATCCGAAGTATTATTGTCTTGACAACATGATAACTCATTTTCATCAAACTGTTTTGATATTAAATTTGTTTAGAACAATCTTATAGAATTGAGGAAATGTCAAGTGTATTTTTATATTTGTGGTTGACATGGTTGCTTTAGCCGACATTTGCTAACTTGGAAAAAAAATTTGACAACCAAGCTTTTTCCCACTAGGTGGGGTCGGCTACATCAATTACACGATGCCATTGAGTTCGGTCAAATTTTAGTTGGGAGTTGAAATTTAGAATGCTTTTGATTTCATCCTTCTCTGCTTTTATGAGATGAAAAGCAGTGGAGAAAATATTTACATGTGAGATGGGATAGACTCTCTGTCTAACTTAAATGAGGAGTAAAGAGTTTCATATTACTGAAAACATCAGTGACTAGTATAGGTTTTTAAGTTCACGTGTTGATTTTTTGGAATGGTGGAGACCCTTACATTTTAACAATAATTCCACAATATCCCTTTTGCTTCATTGTTTATTTAAATTTCAAATCTTGCTTCCATTGAAGACCTTTCTTGATTCTTTCCACTTTTAAAACTAAACTGTCTTGGACTAAGATTCATAGTAAATAATGATGCTGATCTTACACTGTTCAAGTTGTATTCCTGTCTCACCTTGATACTTGTTATTGTTACTTTTAGGTTTCAAACTTTATGGACGTTGGATTTCAGTTCAGGAAAGATAGGCGAAGTTTTTGAAGGTTTGGTTTAATATTGGTTATATTGTTGTTCAAAACAATTTTGCATCCAACTAGAACTGATGGATTCTTGTAATTCATTCTTTATAATTAGGTCTGCCTAGAATTCTTGAGACCTGTGGACAGCCAATCATGAAAAATTTATGCATCTTAGATCAGATTCAATGTGATTGGCTTCAACAACAACAAATTAGTAATGGGTTTTTGGTGGAGGGCCTCCCACGTTCTGATCTTTTATCTTCACTGGTTACCTTGCATGATCATGTTTTCATCTGTGATCCTGGTATTCTTTTCTCCTTGTTACTCAATACTTTCTTGATGTGTGGTTACAAATTTTGAGATTGTTCAGCCCAATTTTTGTGTCTCACTAGTTGGACAGAGGATTCTGAAGGTCAATGGAGTATCTGGGATCTGTTCAGATTTCCAGTTATCTAATTTAAAGATACTTGGATTACCTTATTGGTTGAATTTTCCCCTGGAGTCATTTTATGCTGTGTAAGTTATTTGTTTTTCAATTTTATTCCCAATCTCTGATTTTGCTGTTTCAGTGCTTTGTGTTAAAGATGTAAGATTGTTTCCATTGAAACTGCAAAAGATCCAACATTGGGTGGGTGGGCATATGGCCATAGTTTTTGGCAATCCTCTCTCCTTGAGTTAGCTTTTAGGGTTGAGTTGGTCCCAATCTGTTCTCTATTCGGATATGGTATCAAAGTATATCCAAACTTGATGTCGACCCACCCACACATGTCTTGTGTGTAAACTTCATGTTCCAAATGTCTAGTCCTAGGTGAGAGGGGTGTGTCTAGTGTTGCGTGTGGCAGCAGTATTTTTTATAATGAGTTTGGCTATACTTCCTCCTTGAGTTAGTTTCTGGGGACCCACTTTATGCTCAATTTCAGTAGAACCACACTAACTTCATCATATTACTGGTTTTACAGTGCAAATGGACTTTCGGGTATACCAATTGATCATCTGCAACATTTTGATTTGCTACCAGGTTATTTTACATTTGAAAATTGAGTATTTCCGAATTTAAACATTATGCATGAATCTGTTGAAAGATTGTTTAGTGATTATATAAAATTATTTGATATCCCTTATCAGTAGTAGGGCTTATCGCATCACTTCCTTATATCAAGGATTTTCAGCTAGATGAGTTGTTCTTAAATCCTTGAATTCTGAAGTTTTGTACTTAATCATCATCAACAATGTAAGGTGATAACAAACTATTAATTATTTTTGGTGATCTAGAACTTATCTGCAATGTGTCACAGGCAGGATTGACATACGTTTGAGTGTTGATGTTCCTATGGATATTGAACTTGTTGAACCATTACAAGAATCCTGTATATGGTGTCAAGCAAGAGGTGCAACTACTGAAATTTCTGGAGTGGAAGATACTCCAGGATCGTTAGATAAGGTTCTTTTTGCAGATGTGAACTTTGTTTAGTAGTTCTACTTACTACATTTACAGACCATCTATAATGGTGCCGCCGATGTACTCTCTCTCTCTTGAAAGTAATAAAAAAATGTAATAACGCTGTTTTTTCAGTTATCGAGTTGCTTCTACAAGCAACTTCACCAAAACTGAAGTTTTTAAAATACACTTTACCCCCTTGTAGTTTCATGTTTTTTCAATTTAGCCCCCTATGCTTTATTCTGTCTATAAATCCTCTCATGGGTGGTAAGGTGATACAAAAAAGTAGCACTATAGGGGGGTTAAGTGACACGAAAAAATAAGTTGGGGGGGGGGGTTAATGACAAAAAAAGGTATAAGGGGTGTATTGGGAAAGCTTGAAACTAGAAGCTGATAAATGTAATTTACCCAATAATTTATTATAACAAGGTAAGAAACTGTGTAAGGTACTGCCTTGTTCTTGCTCTGAGTAACTTGGCACAGTATTGATGCAGGTTGGTGTTGCACAACAGTGGTATGATGAATTAGATTATCTTGCCGCTCCAAAACCTGAATCTGAAATTAATGTCAAAGATGATATTCTGGATAAACATTCAGTGGGGGAAGATGTGAATGGTCGAATTAGTTGTGGTGTCTGTTCTAGCCCTGGAACGAGTGAGGTATGCTTATTTATTTTGGCCTTGTCTTGTTCCTGTCATTTCATTTTTTCAATTAGAAGGAACATGCCAAGATCAGAACGAGAATGATGTGCCCTGTTTTGTTCTTTCATCTAAGTGCTTCCCTCTACTCATGCTGACATGTCTTAAAATTCCCTTCGAACTGCATAACTCAAAAATACATTGATTAGTTGTAAACTTATAATGACTTGGACAATCTTCTCCTCTTGTGCTAGCTCTTAATGTTAAGCCTACTCTGTTCTCAATTCTAATAGCAGCACACTAACTTATCCATCTTCATTTGATATCTTGCTTTCCTTTCTCATTCCTCAGCAAGTTTTTATACACATTTTGATTGGTCAACTGTTAGGAGTTGGGAAAGAGGGAAGGGAAAGTTAGTTGAGGTAGTTATTGTAGTTAGTTAGTGGAATAGATTAGTTAGTTAGAGGAGTTTTGAGGTAAAAAAAAATAAGATGAAGACGCAAGGGAAAACATTCCGATTTGGTTATCTTTTGTAAATTGAGCCTTTGCACTTTGTGAAAGGAGAAATCCTTTATGAAGGGGAAACCCTTGGGGAGAATTTTATTCTTCATTTTCTGTTCTGTTTTGCAATGAAATTCTGTTAGGAATTCAGAAAATAAAATGGAAACTAGAGAAGAAGAATTAAAAAAACCCTTGGGTTTGTACTAGTTGTATTACCCCAGTACATAACCAAGATTGGGCAGATTTAAATCTTAAAAAATGGTGATTTTCTTTTCAATTTGTACTTAACTCTGGAGTTGTGTTAGTTTTCTTATCCTTGTATTCATAACTGAATAAAGTTTTTACCTTGGCGAAGCTTTTATATTTGTAATTCTCCTTCAATTTTAAATGAGTGATTGAGCAGATGATAAATGACAATATTATTTGCTACCACCTTGCGATTGCTCCTTTCCAAATTCCTCTTTATAATACTAAATGTACATAATCTGACTCAACTGACTTTCACTGCTCATGTGACCATTTTCGTCTTCCATTCATTTTATTCTTGATGATGGATTTAAGTATCTGTATTCCTTGGAAAATCAACTTCTGCCAATGTAAGTTATGGTAACGAAGGTCACACTTCCATAAATATTAGTCGAAGACCATATCAAAGAATCACAAGGAAGTTCAAAACAATCCATAAAATTTCCCTTTAAATTCTTCACATGACAAAAAACTTTGGTGTTGGTCATGAATGAGCTACTTCAAACAGTGTCCGTCTTATGTACTTATATTTCTTTGATTTATACAGGTTATTATTTACGCTGTACTGTACTGTAAACTTAGAAGAGTCCCAAACTCGAATGAAGGCAACCGGGAGGAACATGCAGCAAGGATACTTGACATTTTGAGCTCTAAGAGATCTGGGAAATTAGTAAGAGATTTATGGAATGCATTTTTGTTGCAATCTAAGGGTGATTTGAGAGATCTAATTTTCACGAAGCCACTACACGTCAGAGTAAGATTAAATTGTTCTGATCATCCAAAGGCTGATAACGGAAGGGATATTATCTTAACGGACTCGTCAATTAAGGTGGGCGTATCGCTCAATTGACAGTAGGCTCAGTTGCACAGTTGCAATTTTTCTTTATTTTTCCACACCCCATGTTTTATTGTTTTGACTGTATAATCAATAAGTATTTAGTAACCTATTTCGCTAATTGCTATATATTTATGAGTATTAGCTGGAAAACTCTTCTATTAAATACAATTTATTGTTTCAAATTTTGATTTGGCCAGACTTCTGTCATTTGTTTTGAATAGTCTCAATGACTTCTGAACGAGGTGAAAGGCTTTCTCTTTCTTTGTAATATTTGGAGATATATAGCGAAATTAATTGTTTCCCTTTGTAAGAATTCATAATATTATCATTAATTATTGGGATTTTGACTCTTTCCTTTAAGAGGAATTCAAGAAATTTATTTTTAACGCTACGTGATTCAATGATTTTACGTGATTACACAAATTCTTTTTCTTCTCATTAAATAATATATTTGCACAATGTTTAATGTGGTACTTAATTTCACTTTTGGTTTTTACAAAAAAGATGTATGAGTTATTGCGTGTTTGGATTCATATTTGAATGACTAAAGATACACGTCTATAAGTTTTTTAATGTGTTTTTAAATACACACTTAGTCTCTTAATGTTATAATGATGTTAAACTCAATATTTATATATTTTTTTTTTTAAGTTTAGTTGTTATATAAAAAAGGGTTTTGTGAACCTAGTCCATAAGTTGAATTTAAACATCTCCAATAGAATTAATTTTTTAAAAATAGTGCATATTTATTATATTAAAATTATAAAAGTATAATAGTGATTATTTTTTAATAAATTTTTACAATTAGTTATTTACTCTCTAGCTCTAAAGTTAACATTTTCCTGCAAAAGAATTCCAATTCATTTTAGTTTTTACATTAATTTTTTTTTATATATATATATTTCGATTATGTTTTCATCCATGAGAAATTTTATCATGATTATATGCATTACACATAAAGGATTGATTTGTTATATTTTTATAGTAAAAATCAAATTATAAATTTTTATATAGGAATTAAAATAAAAAAGTGTATAAAGAATATTAAGTTTTTAAATAAAATTATACTTTGATCTAACTTTTTACACTTTTTTACTTTGATTTATTAACTTTTAAAAGTTTTAATTTATTCTTTTAACTTAAAAAAGTTTTAAATATGTCAATTTTTTAGAAATTGTTAACTTCGAATCTTTTTTCTAATTGCCACTTTTTTCTCCTCCCTTCTTTGTAAAACTTTATTCACCAGCTCTTAACTCTCACTTGGAATATATTTCATTGTATCTTAACTCTTTATATGGTTTTAATTAGATTTCAGTAACATTATTATTATTTTTTTTAACATCACCGTTGTCTTTTCTTTTTTCTTTTTCAAAATCTCCGTATAATAAGGGGATAAAGAGAAAGAATAGAAGTGAAGGAGTAAAAAAAAAGAAGAGTAAGTTGTAGATGAAGGAAAAGAAGAAGAGCAAGAAGTTTAGGGAATCTTGTTAATTTTGTGAAATTTATTAACTAAGAAGTTCTTTAAAATTTATAAAAAGAGTAATTCTTTTTCAATTACAATTTTTTTCTTGTTATCTTATTAAGAAAATAAGAACCTCACTTTGATATGACTTGAATGAACTATCAATTTTAATATCACTTGTGGAGGAGAGAAATAGAAAAAAAATAAAATTGCTTTTTGTGTTTTTTCAACTATCTACATAAAAAAATTAAATTTAACTTAGTTCATCACTTCTTGTTTGCGATCACAAATTTTAAACATCACTTTATTATTTTTATTGAATAAAATTAGAAATCTTTGTCACATACCATTTAAATAATATTATAGTAAATAAATAGAAAATAAAATCTTATATTTATGATATTTAATATATAAGTGAGAATCTATTAATATTATTGATAGTCAAACTTGCACAATTACATTATTTAATACTTTATATAATATAAAATTAAACAATTTTACTATTCAATCATCTTTATATTATATTTATATTTATGATTATGTATATTAAATCTTACGTAATATTGATATTATAAATGTGTTATCTAAAATTTAATATTTATGTTTTAAAAATATAATATTTGTTAAAACAAAAATAATGTGACAAAATACTTATTAATTTTTTTTAATAAAATTTTATAAAACTAATCTGATTGATAAAAAATTTTAAACTAACGATTATTGAAAAATTAAGGGTATATTTGATTTCTGCTTTTAAAACAGTTTTCAATTTTTAAAAATGAATTTGAACAATACTCTAAGAGTCAAAAGTTTCTAAATACAGAACTTGAATTTAATCGGACTCTCTTACGCGTGTGTGCATGGCTTCATTTTCCTCCCATTATTTTTAAAATGATAATGTTTCAACGTGGCAGTTAAGCAACGATAGATGGTAGGTATTTCAATTTTTAAGAATATTATTATATTATTAAACTAATTCTACAAATCATTTACTTTTCTCCGTTTTTATTCATAAAAAATATTTTTTCTTTGACATATTTTTATATTTATTTTATATATTAAGTACGCGTCTCTCTCTCTCTCTCTCTCTTTTTTTTTTTTTTTATCACATCACTCTACTTCTTTTATATTTACCCTTTATTTTTAAGTTTAAATATAAAATTTCTTATAATATATCTTTTAATTTTAAATTATTTATTTTTGTATTTTCTAGACCATATATATAATTTTATTATTTTAAATTAATTTTATTTACATTTAAATATCTTATCTTTTGATTATAAAAACAAAAATACTTTTTAAGAATTATATCTTAAACGTGAGCATTTTTAGTAATTATTTTTTTATCTCTTGTGATGCTTTATAGTTTATTCTAAGTAGAGTATTTGATTTTTATCATTTAAATTTCATTTTAATTTAAAATTTTTATAATTCATTTTAAAATTTTAAAAATTCTTTCTCCTTAATTTTAACTTTTAATATAATAAAATATTTTTTAAATTTATAAAACTTATTAAATTTAAAAAATTGATACAATAAATCTTTAATTTTTAGAAAAAATAATTTAATGATACGTGTTATATATATTTATATATATGATTGGTGTGGTGTGCACTTTGATCAGATCCTCTGTTGTTAGACGCTTCCTCTCTCCGTCGGCGATCTTTCAAGAGAATGGAGAATAACGCATTGAAAGATGAAAACGAACACCAAGAAATCTTCGAACCCTTTGTTTGCTGTGTTTGCCTGTAATTCCGTTTTCCTTCTCTATATTTTTGTTGTCTTATTTGTTGTTTCCATGAAACGGAGAACTTCAAGCGTAATTGGAAGAGGAAGAAGAACTATATTCAGCTTGAGTTTGCAAGCAGAGCAATGCTTCATTCATTCATTCTCAAATTTTGTTTTTATTTCGAAACTAAGATTTGACTTGCATTGAATATTTAGATAAGTATGCGCATTTTAAATTGAATAATTTGTTTTTTATTTTATGGCTTGGTTTTTGCGCATTTGTGAACTCCACAAATTTTACTCTCTTGTCTGTAAAGGAGTCGGAGCTGTTTTTAATTATTTATTGTGTATTTTTAAGTTGGTCTATGACATGCCCTATTAACTTAATCAAATTGTCCTTGTTGGATTTTACTTTTATGATGCAGGGATCTATTACACAAGCCTATTGTGCTATGTAAGGCAACATCAAATTTTTTAAAGTTACTTGCAATGATTTTATTTTAGTAAACTGTGATGGATTTTAATATTTTGTGTTTTCCCTGATTGTAGCTTGTGGTCACATATCCTGTTTCTGGTGTGTCCATAAATCAATGAGTGGTTTGCATGAGTCTCATTGTCCGATTTGTAGGCATCCATACTATCACTTTCCAACGATCTGTCAAATGCTTCACTATTTGCTTCTTAAGATCTATCCTGATGCTTACAGGAGGAGGGAAAAGGAGATGCTTGGTATGTTTCTCCTTCCAAGGGCTTTTATGCATAATATATTCAAATATAACCTGCAGAATGCCTTATACAATTTCCTTTTGCGAAAGCACTGCATTGTGTTTCACCTAAAGCTTCAGAGAGTGGAATGCCTGTAATTATTTTTATATTGTCAATTTTTTTAAAAAGTTTACTTTTATCCACTGTGTTTGGTTGCTTTGTGTGCATGCATTGACAACAGTGATTTATATGTGGTTACTCTCTACTGTCACCAAATTGATTATCTATCATTGATGAACTAATTAGGTCTACGGGTCATGCTTGTACTTTCAAATGTTGATATATCTCATAGTAGAGACAGGATTAAACCTAGATTGCATAAACTTGACCAGCTTTTTAGCACTTCTTGTCAACCATTCTCTTTGCCATAAAAAAATGAAACGTTGAATGATTATTAGAATCTTAAGATACGCAATTTGAATCATACAATTTAATGGGATTCAGGTAGCCAGCAATTTGTATCGTATGATGAGTCTCAAATGACCTTGAATCTTATGATACATGAATGAATTGGTGCAATCTTGTATCACTGATATGAATCACACGTTTCAATGATTCATTATGATTATTTTTTTTACTCTTCTTTCCTCAATTCTCATGAAAGAAATTGAGGAGTGATATAAGCTTAAACGATTATTGAAATGGATTCGATGTACTGCTGAACTTGTCTTATTTAGTTATGCCACTAATCTATTTGTCACTCACTCATTCAATGCATGCACTCTATTTGTCTATTCCATTGCCCTGTTTTCATTCTTCCTAGAGGAAAGCTTGGCTTCACAAAATTATGACTTATAATTGTGTTTTGAGACCCTTATGGTTATGTTGTTTAAAATTATTACGTTGAGCAATTATCGATTATAATGATATATTTGAAATTATTTTTCATTGCCTATGAACGGTACCATTTGATCCGATTTATGATTCATGATTCCAAAGTTAACTTGACTTCTAGATTTATACTAAAAATTGTTGTTATAATAACAATAAAAATTTCATTTTAACAAAAACATATAATTTTTAATATAGCATTTTTCTCTTAATTATGTAATTTTTAATTTTTTAAAATATTTTTCTATTATTTTAAAAATTATATTCAATAAAATACCAGAAAAATGAAAAAAATCCTGCATCTCTTCCTACCCAAAATCTCAGAATTTTGTGTGAGAAAATAATCTGGTGGGCCCCATCTAAAATTATTTTTTCCATTCATGCAAGACAAAACATGTATTACAGCATGACTGCTATATGGCCAACATTGGCAAAAAAAAGTGGAGTGGCTTTAGTAGAAGCATTGTAACTTGCAGAGTTTGATTGCATGTTATTCTTTTTTGGTCACCTTTCTCAAACTGTGGAAGAGGTTTTTCATTTGTTTACCATAGACTTAGCTGAAAGAGTGGATTGAGATACTCCTCTTTCTGACTGCTTTGCTGATTGCAATCTGTTTTGTCATTATGGTATAAAAAATGATAGTCTATTCTCTTGCATCCAGAATTGCAGTATGTAGGAGGAATTTTATTGGAACACAGCACCAGGAAAGTTCTAGACCTACTACTTGTGTTTGAAGTGAATATGATAACTGTAAATCGCAAGACAGAGAGTTCTTTGGAACTACTGGTGCAGTATATGCATGGATAAGTTTCTGCTGCTCCATCATCCAAAAATTTTTCTCATGATATATATAATCTTAAACCTCAAAATGAGATTTTTCTTTTAAAGTATTTTTTAATTCTTGGTATTCCTTATACTCACCTTGTTGGTTTTCTCCTGCCTGCCATCATGTTTCTTTCTAGTAAAATTCCAGTCATCATAAAAGAGAAATAATCCTTTTGTCTACTTTACTGGGCAATGTTTGACCATAATTTTCCGTTTCACCTCATGTTTCAGAGAAAGAAGAGGATATGGGCTGTTTCTCCCCTCAGTTTGATGCTTGTACATGTGGATCACAAGTTGTATCTGATCACCCTGGGATTTCACCTTCCTGTAACATTAAAAATTCAGTGTCCAACTCATGCAGCATAGAATCCTTTGGAAGTATGGAGCAATCAGGATCTGCAACTCATAAAGGAGATGAAGACAGTCAAGGCACCACCATATATTCTGAGCACTCTTCTGACAGAACACCTGAAGTTATCGGGACTCCTGATGATGAAAAGAAATTACGTAATAATGATCACAATCAACAAGAAATATTAATTGCAGATGTGATGTGTACAATGTGCAAGCAGCTTCTCTTTCATCCAGTTGTTCTTAATTGTGGTCATGGTACTTGATGCACTCTGGATAAACTTTAAGTTTTCCCTTTTTTATAACATTAAGGTCACCAATTGCAGCAAACTTAACAGTGCATTTCATTTGAGGGAAGCCAAGGGGAGGGGAGGGATTTTTTTAATTTTACCACATTTGGTTCAAAAATTTGGAGGGGAGGAGAGAGGACACAAAGGTGTAAAATCCCTTCCCTCCCATTTTGTCTCCCCTCCAATACTGGGGGGATTTGGAATTTTTGAGGGAAGGGAAAGTTGTATATCATTTTTAAAGTGTGCTAACAAAACTATCCTCGAGTTTTATTTACCTATGCTCCCTTTCTAACCAAACAAGGGGACCCATTCTTCCACTTCCATCCCTTCCTCTTTCATCCCTTCCTTTTTAACCATACCAAACAAGAAGACTCTATTTTGTTCCCCCTCCCTTCCCTCATCACCCCTTCATTAAAATCCCTCTCCTCTCCTACCCACCTTTGAACCTAACATAGTGCAATTGACATATTTGTATTTCACTTTTCCCTCTTTCTCTGCAGTATACTGTGAGACTTGTATAATTAACGTAGCTGAAGAGATGCTTAGATGTCATGTTTGTCAAAGTCCACATCCAAGAGGATTACCAAGAGTTTGTTTGACGCTTGATCACTTTTTGGCTGAGCGATTTCCAAATGAATATGCTCAGCGAAGGGATGCAATTCAACTTGCCCAAATCAAAGTCAAACCTGAGACCACATCATGTATGTATCTTTGCTTACTAATTTATTTAATGTATACTTTAATATTGGAATACATTTATCTATATCTTAACTTTCCTCGAAGACTGTTAGAATATCTTACATGACAATGGTTTGGCCTGTTTGAGTATGCTAAAGCCAAAAGCATTAAAATTTAAAATTGAAAGAAAAATGATAGAAATAGTAGTGTCAATGGATATTACATAGATTTCCTGACTGTAAAATTCAAATTGAGACGAAACAACTAAGCATTATCTCACTAGGCAAGTTGGCTATGGATCAAACAACCCCATTGGGCTCTATCGAAGTATCAAATTTAAGTAGACCATTAAGTGATACACCATTTTTATTCAGTCTTCTACACCATTTAATTGGAGTATTACACTAGATTGTCTTCTCCTCACAACCAAACCATCTTAAGTGAGTTTCTGTCATCTAATGTTATCCTTTTTTGCATGTCTCCTCATCTTCTCAACACTGCCATCCACCACCCCCCTTTTTTTAAAATGCTTTGGCACTTTTCTGCCACTAAGCCTCAATGGTTGTATAGCTATCTAGAGGTTTCCTTGTTTCATAGGAACCCTGCAATCACAAATAATGTCTGAAAACACTTCTTTATTTCATGCTTCTTGCTTGAATCCAATGTGTTGCATCTTATGCTAATAATTCAAATTCTGAAGAGAAAAACATAATTGAAAAATGCATTTAGTAATTCAGGATTAGGATGTCATATGTTATAGTATTGCATTTGGGGCCATCAAATCAAAATATATATCTTAGAAGAAACTGCATATCATAGAATATAAGATGAATTACATTGACTTTCCCAATGGTTTAATTAAACTCCATTTACCTCCAATCCTGTTTAATAAATTACAATGTTCCTTTTCTTTGATTCTTCTACATGGAGGCAAGTTATCAATCTTAGAAGCAACGTGTAGCTGCTGACACCAAATATGCTATAATGGAATGATTGTTATTTAGAAGTTTTATGTACAAATTAAATATTTTATACTATATATATATATAAATGCTAAAAAATTTAAAAATTCAAAATTCATGACATTCATAATTAAAACTAAAAAGTCAGCTCTTAATCAAAACATATAAGTAAAAAATCTCCCAAAACAATTCTGTTATTAGGGCAATTTTTTAAAAGTTTCACTCTAGTGGTGCTACGACTGCTATTACAAGTGGTCATAACACCTGCAAATAGAAAATGATATACTGTTGGAAGTTTTTTTTAGTAATCGTATGTGTTAAGGTGAGAGAAAACGAGAAAGCATGTAATGAATTCCGTGTGTTTCAACTATGCCACGGGTTGAGTATTTATATTAATAAGGGTAATCCTAATTATAGCTACATATTCTGGAATAAATATACGGTTACCTAATTACTATAATTATACAAATGCTATTTTCTTAAATAGCATATTTTGCATATATTTAACACTCCCTTTCAAGCTGGAGCATTTAAATCATATGCACCGAGCTTGCCACATATGTACTTAATATGAGGACCTTTTACAAACTTCGTGAATACATATGCCAGTTGATCATTTGAATTGACAAAGCTTGTGGTGATGATCCCAAATAAGATCTTTTCACGAATGAAGTGACAATCAATCTCAATATGCTTTGTTTGTTCGTGAAAGATTGGATTCAATACAATGTGTAAAGCTGTTTGGTTATCACAAATGAGTGTCAGTTGTGTATCCTCTCCAAATTTTAATTCTTTAAGTAGTTGTTTCAACCATACAAGTTCTCATGTGGTTGAAGCCATGACTTGATAGTCTGCTTCTGCACTGAAAAGAGAAACTATATTTTGCTTCTTGCTTTTTCAAGAAATCAAGTTACCTCAAATCAAAATACAATAGTCAGATATCGACCTCTTATCATGAGAACATGCATCAAAATATCCAATAATCTTATTTTGACCCTTGTTCTCATACAGGCCTGGAGCTCTTTTAATATACTTTAAGATGAGAATCAATGCATCCCAATGTCCTTCACATAGAGTGTTGAGGAATGGACTTATTATACTAACAACAAAAGAGATGTTTGGTCAAGTAATTGTGAGATAATTTAGTTTTTCAACCAAATCTTATACTTTTCTGGGTTAGTAAGAGGCTCCCTAGACTTGGAAGAAGTTTAGAATTAGGGTCCATAGAAGTTTCCATAGATTTGGGCCCCGTCAAATCTGTTTCTTTTAATATATCCAATGCATATTTTCTTTGAGAAATTACAATGCCTTGCTTGGTTTGTGTCACCTTTATTCCTAAGAAATATCGAAGTCTACAAGGTCTTCTGTTCACCTATATCGCTTCCAGTCACTATAATATTATTTACGTACACTAACAATACTGTTACTTCCCCTGACTTTGAGTGCTTAATGAACAAAGTATGGTCCCCTTGGCTTTGTTTGTAACCCAGACCTATCATAACTTTAGTAAATCGGCCAAACCATGCCCGTGGGGACTGTTTCAGCCCATATAATGCCTTCTTTAGCTTGCAAACTGTGTTGGCAGCAACATCTCCACCATATCCCGGTGGTATCTCCATATAAATTTTCTCTTTGAGCTCTCCATGTAGAAAAGTATTCTTTATGTTGAATTGTTGCAAATTCCAATTACAATTGGCAGCAAGAGACAAAATTACTCTAACTGTATTCATCTTAGCAACGGGAGCAAAAGTCTCCAAATAATCTACCCCATAGGTTTGAGTGAAACCTTTGGCAACTAGTCTTACCTTGTATCCATCAGCCTTGTATTTTATTGTGTAGACCCACTTACAACCGACTGGTCTCTTACCATCCGGTAGAGTAACTAACTCCTAGGTGCTGCTTTTTTTTTTTCAGTGCATCCATGGCTTGCTTCCATTTTCTGTCAGACAAAGCCTCAGATAGGGTAGTAGGCGTGGTTGAGGTGTTTAGGTTTACAAGGAAGGTTTTATGGTAAGGGAGAAATTTTTAAAGGACAGGTAGTTGGAGAGAAGATACAGTGGGTGTTTGGTGCATTCCCTTGTTCCTTTTCAAATAGCAATCGGAAGGTCAAGGTCATCAATCTGTGTTTCGGTTTCAACCTGCATAGTGGAAGAATCAAAGGATATTACCTTTGCTTACAGAGTCGGATTGGACTCTTGGACATGGGTTGAGCTTGGATTGGCCTTTTTCTTTCTTGAGTACACTAAGTTTTTTCCATACCTTGTATCGGGTATAGCTTCAACACTTCCTTGGTCTGATTCAAGTACAGCTTCAACACTTCCTTGTTCTGATTCAAGTACAGCTTCAACACTCCTTGTTCTGATTCAAGTACAGCTTTAACACCTTGGTTTGATTCAAGTACAGCTTCAACACCTTTTTCTGATTCATGATCACCTTCACCTTCAATATGGTCAAGTAAGGATTCAAAAGTTAAGTCAGGGAGGACAGAATTTGGGCCAGACTTTGTTTCCTTATCTTCACCAAGATTCTCCCCCTGAAGATAAGGTATACTAAAATAGCCCTCTTGTTCATTGAAAGTGACATCCCGAGACACAAAATTTTTTGGACGGTGGATGATAGCATTTATAACCTTTTTGGGTAGAAGAGTAACCCACAAAGACACACTTCAAGGATCTAGGATCAAGTTTCCCCCTATCAGTACTACGAATATGAACAAAGGAGAGACAACCAAAAATTCGCAGTTTGAGATTGTTGGTAGTAGTCGGATTTGAATAGAAAGATGACAAAACTTCCATAGGACTTTTTGATCCTGTGACTCTTGAGGGTAATCTATTGATGAGATGGGTCGCAGTAAGGATAGCTTCTCCCCATAGTTTTTTTGGAACATTATTCTGAAATAGTAATGCCCTAGTTTGATTAAGGATATGCCCATTTTTCCTTTCCGTAATTCCATTTTTCTGTGGTGTTTTGACACAGGAAGACTCATGAATTATTCCTTCCTTTGGCAAAAGGAAGTAAGGACATGATTGAAATAATCTTTAGCATTGTCGGATTGAAGCTTCTTAATGTTAACACCAAACTGGTTTTTAACCATGAGGAAAAATTTTGAAAGACCAATCTGACCTAAGATTTTTGTTTAAGTAAGAAAACCCATGTGACCCGAGTACAATCATCTGTAAAGGTGAGAAACCACTGAGCACCGCATACGTTTGGAACAGTGGAGGGCCCCCAAACATCATTGTGAACAAGATAGAAGGGAAATGTGGTAATTTTATTACTAATCGGAAAAGGTACACACTTGTGTTTAGCAAATTCACACACATCACAATGAAAATTCTCAACATTTATTTTGTGAAATAAAGAGGGAAACATAACTCTGAGGATTCTAAAGGAGGGATGTCCCAATCAATGATGATAAAGTATGACTTTTTCTCTGTTGCTTAACACAGATTCTGAGTTGAAAGAGTGACAGATTCTGCCTTGGCTGGACAGACTTGGATCTTCAAGGAAGTAGATAATTTTGGGACATGGAGAACATTTTTCAGGGTAATTGAGGGGTTGATTTGAACACTTCCACAGCCATCTGCAATTATAAGAGTTCTATCAGCTGTAGCAACTTTCCTATTACTAGGGCATGGAGAGTATGTGGAGAAGAGTTTGGCTAATGGTGTCATGTGGTCCATGGTTCCAGAGTTTAGGATCCAGTATTGGTTAAAGTTTGTATTTGAGACATTTAGTCCAAAAGAAAAAGGAAACTCACCTGAGTATGTCAAGGAACACGCACCTGTAGGTTTTTCTAATTTGTTGAAAAAGATTCTCACCCGTTCTATCTCATCTTGATTGAGATTAGCAACAGTTTGGGCCGTAACTTCTAGTTTCCTTTCCTCACTTGTTTCAGCAACAATATGAGCTTGTCCTCCCTTCTTTGAGGAGTTGCCTCTGTGTCCTCCTTCTCGGTCTCCGTTTGGAGGTTTCCCATGCAGTTTCCAACATTTCTCTTGGGTATGGCATGGCTTATTATAGTAGGTGCACCAAAGATCATCTTTCTTCTTCGTGCGTGT